GAGAGGCTGTGCTGACCTCGTGCCTCTTCCTCTGCAGAGCCCCGGCTGTATCAGGAGATCCGTGAGAGAGGGCTGAACTCTGTCAGCCATGAGTCAGACGAGGATTTGCGGGAGGAATCCATCCCAGAGGAGCCATCCCCTCTGGGTGCTGCTATCGTGGTGCAGAGCTACCGCCCGGCGCAGGTGACCTGGAGCCAGCTCCCGGAGGTAGGGGCAGCAGCCCAGCCCCAGCCCAGAGGGACTGAAAGCTGTGAGGGCATAATTCCACAGCTTTAGTCTTTGCAATGGGATGTTCTGGGCTGTCCAGCCCTGGCTGGGACACACATGTTCTGTGTGTGTGATGGTGGGCAGTGCTGGTGATGTGTGATGGTGTGTAGGGGTATGTGATGGTGTGTGGGGGTATGTGATGGTGTGCTGAGTGACTGTGCGATGGGGTGGCTGGCAGAGCCCTGGACCGCACTAGAGGGCGTGCAAGGACCATCATTCCTGCTCATCCCAGCCTCTCTCCCGCAGGTTCTGGAAGCAGGCATCCTGCAGAGGATATGCCCCGAGGAGCGCAAGAGGCAGGAGGTGAGAGGAGCCTGGGACATGCTGGCAAGGCAGTGTAGACACCACAGGCTGTGGGATTGTACCTGTGTCAGGGGTCAGCTCTGAGCAGGGCTGGGCTCAGCTCGAGTTCAGCTCAGTTCATGGTTCTGCTGCTGCTTCCAACTACTCTGGGACTGGGTAGTGCTGGAAGGGCTTGCTGGGGAAACAGGCAGCTCCAGAGGATGCTGATGGGAAATAGCCACTGGAAGGGAAAACATCTTAAGTCATTGTTAATTTTTTCATTAATTTTTATTATTAATTGTAATTTTGTCAGTGTAATAAGCTGTGGCTTATCAATGACTTGAGTATCATCCTAAAACACACTGAGGTTATTGGTGTTGGCCAGGCCATGCATGAGGTGATAAAAGGAACACACCGAACTGTTGGAGCCGAGTCATTTCCAGTGGCTTTGTGCACGTTTTAATTCCCTGCTTTGCTCAGTCAGTTTGTGCTGTTGCATCTTCCCTGCCCTGCCCTGTCCAGGCAATGTTTGAGATCATCACTTCTGAGTACTCCTACATGCACAGCCTGAGTGTCCTGGTGGGCCACTTCATGCGCTCGGAGGAGCTGAAGGAGACGATGACGCAGACGGAGCATCACCACCTCTTCTCCAACATCGGGGACATCCTGACGGTCAGCACGAGGCAAGTGGGGGCACGGCAGGGGCTGGGACCAGGCAGGCCTGGGGGGGTCTCTGAGCTCCCTTTATTTGTCATGTAAAAACAACCATCCCTTGCGAGGTTGAGGGTGCTCCCTGGGAGCTGGGGAGCAAACACTTTGGGAGTGAGGGCTGGGAGAGCTGTGTCCATGTGGCAGAGCAGCAGGAGGAGGATGCAGCAGCCCTGGGAATGGCTGCGGGGGCGTTGAGGCCTTGCAGCTTCCCAGTGGAGCAGAAACCAATCCTCATGGAGAGCTGAAGTGGAGGAGGGACCCTGTGCGGGAACAGAGGAAGTGCCTGTGTCTGGGGAAGGTGTGGGTGTCTCAGCTGCTGGAGCTGACCTGCCAGAAGGGATCAGGGCCCCATCTCCAGTGGGAAAACTGAGTAAAAGTTGCAGGGGGGACACCCAGTTTGTCTGGCCCTAAGGAGTCATGTAGTAAAGTTGTTTAAATTCTCTCCTCAGCTTCTTTGAAGACTTAGAGAAGCGCCACCAGGAAAACCTCCTGATGCCTGACATCAGTGACATAGTGGAAGAACACGCCTCGAACCACTTCAACCCCTACATCAGTTACTGCTCCAATGAAGTCTATCAGCAGAGGACACTGGATAAGCTGCTGTGAGTACAGGGCTTGGGCTGGCCAAGGAATTGCCTCCCAGGGGCTCTGGGCTTCAGGGATTGCAAAGGTCGATAACTCGTGTGGTGCATTAGGGACTCGTGTGGAGACTGTTCAGATCCTCCTGGTGCTACAGGTCCAGTCTGAGTCCACAGCTGGTATATCTGTGGCTTTACCAGCTTTCGGTGGACTTACCATTTATCTTTGGGTGCTTTTCCACCACCCACTGAGGGATTGGTCCCTCTTCCACCCACCTGGGTGCTCTGAGCCCAGCAGAGTGACAGCAAGCACCAGGGACCGTGCCATCACCACTCTGCATGGAGAGCTGCTGGAAAATCTTGATTATAGAAGAACAGAGTTAATGGATCTTTCTTGTCCTGTTTCAGAACCACAAACCCCTTATTTAAAGAGACTCTGAAACAAATTGAAAGGAAACCAGAGTGTGGAGGCCTGCCAATGATCTCATTTCTCATTCTCCCCATGCAGAGGGTAACAAGGCTTCCTCTGCTCTTAGATGTAAGTAGCCACATGGTGGCGTTGCTTGGTTCCTCTGAAGAGGTAACTGTTACTCCCTTCTTTGGTTTGTGGAGCCCAGGACAGCCTCTGCCTGGACTTCCATCCCTTTGGGAGCTGAGGCCAGGATGCTGAGCCTGTATTCAGATTTAGATCCAAAGTGATCTCTTTCTTGGGGGTGTCAGATGTGCAGCCTAAAGCTCTGAGAATAACACTTCATGTCTTGGTGCCACTCACCTGAGTAACCTGAGGTTCTTTGTGCCGTATCTGGTTTCCAGGGTGAGGTGGCACGAGTGTCCTGTTTGTTGAGTGGTCAGGCAGCCCCGGAAAGGAAAGCAGGTCTTGCATTCTTTATGGAAATCTGCTTTAAATGGCAAAGCTGTTGGAATGGGATATCCAGTAACTGCTCCCAGTCTGTGGTGGCTGCAGGGGTGAGGGCCAGGGGGCTGCTGGGGTGCCAGTCAGGCACTTATCAGGCATGAAAGCCCCAGCAGGAACCAGGGTCACAACTCCCAGCACTGTTAAACCTTGCTCTGGCCACATGCCTGTCCTGCTGCCAGGCTGACTGTCAGGAACAGCTCGAGCCCGTGTCAGACCCTGAAATCCCAGGGAAGCAGCTGGTGTGCCATTCCCTGTGGGGCAGTGTCACTAAAGCACCTTGTCTTGGAATTCCAGACGGTCCGTCAGCAAACAAACGCACACACTGCAGCGTACGGAGCTGCCACCCGGGCTCTGAAGGCCATCAGCAAGGTGAGGCTGCCACATCTCCACCTGTCCTACTGCCAGCAAGCCTTCCAGTGTGCTGCTCCAAC